GTGATGACACGTGTTGTGCCCACTTTCCCTTGCTCCACAGCCCTGCTGCATCTTGCGTGTTCCCTTCCACATGTCTGGCCCCTACAGCACCCTGAATTCCTGCCTTATCAGATGACATGGGGCACAAGCATGTCAGTAGTGTATCTGGAGATGTTTTTGGGTGGCATTCTTTGCATAAACCTCTTTACAAACCTGAAAACTTCTTTTGGTGAGGAAAAACACCTGCTCTCCCCATTATGCAGAAATTGCAGAGCGAGAGCGATTGTGCTTGATCTCACTGAACAGTCGGGTCGGGCGAAAGATGAAGCAAAGCAAATTTTAAGCCTGCGAGCGAGGGTTATATGTATGGAGAGGTCAAATTATCATGAAACTTTATTGCTGTATCCATTAGTCATCTTTAATAAAGGATTGGAAAAGGTCACTCCTTGTTCAGCAGTGCACCGAAGTGGAGCATTTGTGACTACAGAGAGCCCCGTGTACTGAAAGGATAAATGCAGGTAGCAGAGTTGGATGTCCTAGCACTCAAGTGCAAGGCCTGGCACAGGCTCACGGCGGGGGCGAAGGGCAGCTTTTTACCTTTGTTTCCACAACAGCAAAATAGGGATTCTTACCCAGCCAGATCAGAAGCTTTCTGGAGTGACTAATTACTAGTTGTGTGGTGATTTGAGTGCTTGCAGCTTTGTCATGCCACCTTGTAATCGGTGTTCTTACAGTGCCTGTGCTCTTAGTCGATTGCAGCCTTCATTTTTGTCAAGTGAGTGACGACCGTAGCGTTGCGTTTTGGAGCCTGGACCAGAATGGATGTGCTGCACTCTCCTTATGTCGATGCAAAGTGCCCGATTCTTCTTATTTTCCTCTCCCACTGCCTGTGGGGTGGTGTAGGGCCTCTAGAGGAGATGTTAGTGGAGTTTTCTTAACAGTGATCACTTATAAAACCTCTGTTTTCTGTTTTGAGCAGTTTCCAGTTTGCTTTTTTTTTTGCCTTTTTTTCTTCCCACCCCTCACTGTGATTCAGGACTTGGCTGTTCGCCTTTGCTGTAAGGTCTGGCCGAGTCCTCTGGGCACACATAGCTTGGTCACCGAGGGGAGTGCCCGAGCAGTGGGTACCTTGGGCCCCTGCACACAGTGCGTGCCACGTGGCCAGGTGACTACTGCCGTGCTTCCAGCTCCGTGGGAAGCAGGGAAAAGAGGGAGATAAAGTTTCTCAGCTTGGTCTCTGCAAGATATATGACAGGAGAAATGGCCTTTTTCTCGTGGACGTTGCTTCTTAACTTGGGAGAGTACGTCTTTGTGCGCTGACAAGAAGCACTCAGCTCCCTGCAAATCCTGTGCATAGTTTTTTCCTCTAGAGGGTGGGTAGGTGCAGCTTTTCTTTTCTGAAAGACTCGAGGCAGGGTGGAGATGAGCGCCATACACGTCAAGTGCTTTCTCTGGTGGTGCTTGGAAACAAACCGCAGCCTCTCTGGGCCCCCGCTGGATTTCCATGATAAATACAGCAATATTGACAGATAACGTGGCCAGCCCGGCTCTTGTCAGCTCTGCCTTTTAGCAGGTTTGATTAATTGCTTTACAATTTCACGTCCAGCTGGGGGGCCACTCTTGGATCACTTCTGCCCCCCATCAGGTAGAAGAATGGGAGCAGGCTGCTGAATGCTTCTATAGACAGCCACCATGTGCCGAGCGGGGCACCTCTTCACGGGGGAAGATGAACTCCTTCCGGCACTGTGCAGCATCGTGCTGACTGCGTCACGTCGTTTGCATGTTCCCGAGGCTGAATTGGGAGCATGGGGATGGGAGGGAGCTCTTGGGCGTGTACCAGATTTGGAGGGTAAGGAGAAGGGCACCAAGTCCTGGTACTGGAGGTAGGAGCTTGTGGCCACTGATTAAGCTTGGAGAGCCAACTGACTTCATCCTGCCATAAGTAGTGTCTAGGAGGGAACTGATGTGGAAACTTCCTCAACAACTACTGAGTCAGTGCTGAGTTCTAGTTGGGGAACTGATTTTTAGTCTATACTCTCCTCACCTCTAGTTTGATGAGGCTGCTTCGCGTTTTAATCGCCTTTTGGAAAGAGAAACTTCATCTGCTCTGCTAGTAGCAACCCATGGTTATGTCTCTGTCACTCAAAGGGTCCAGTGTTTTCGTTAAGGAGATAAAGTGCCTGTTCATTCGAATCTCACCTCAGTATGTAAAAAACAGAGCTTCAAACAAGTCTGCGTCAGACAAAAGCATTGCATAATAAAACCTCCTTGGTTTTGAAACTTCATCTTGCTGCTTTCCCATGCTTGACTGAAAATAAGTGGCCTGGCTTTTGGCTGCACAGTACAATCTCTGTTGTCTGCCCAGGGATGTGACACGATTATCTTTTGTTAAATGCATCTTCAAAAATTCATTTAGAAAGAGTTAATTGCCCTTTGGCAACTTTTCCTCCTCCCTTCCCCAAGAAGGCTTTAAAATGTTAAAAAGGTCACGAGTCCATTACAATGAAATGAACAAGTGTCTGCAAAATCCACAGTTTGTTTTGAAGTTGTGCTGGATGTATAGAGATGGAAATGCGAGCAAAATTGAGGAGATTGTATTTGGACACACTTTATAATTAAAACCAAATAAAAATCTCCAGTTACTTTCCTTTGCTCTCTTTCCTACTTGCTCTGTGACCTTTTGGCTGGTGATTTTTGGTTTGTGATTTAAAAGTTGTAAAACCCTTTCCTTCCCTGCACCCTTTAATTTCTCCAGTTGAGTGGAGCTGGTCTGCAAGTTGTGTGAGCTTCCAAAAGAAGAATTGAACCATTGTAACATTGGCCGAGGCTTTTGTTAAGCAAATTTCATTAAGAGACCCCGGACCTAGCCAGCTCTTCGGGAAATCGGATCTGCTTTGGCTGCCCCTGTCCTGCTCCAGATGGCAAACTACCCCGATACGTTCTCTGCGAGCACAGCTAACCCTGAAATAGCAGGAGACTGCCTGGAATCCTGCGCCGCAGAGGGATGCGCACGCTGCGCTGTGAAGGGGAAGCGCGATAAGCGGAGACTTCTTTAAAGGAAGAAGCTGTGGAACAGCACGTGGTTGTGAGAGAGCTTAAGTTTGGTTTTTAAAAGGCAAGTTAGGCAGCTGGTGGGTTTTTTGTCTTAGTGGAATGAAGTGTCTTAACGATGGGGCAAGAAAAAAACCAAACAACCTTGTGGAAGAAAGGAAAAGCGTGTTTTAGTTGCAGGTGACTTTCTTTTCTTGAGGATTGTGAAGAGCTGTGCAAAACCACCGGAATTCAGCCAGCACAGCTTTTACACCTGTTTTGGTGAAGCGTCTCAGCCGTGCTGCATTTTGTGTGGGGAGCCTAGCAATGTACACGCAGGGGGGCTGTGTGTTTTTAAAACAGCACCATCCGTGACCCCAAAATCTGTCGCAGTAGCTCACAGCTTCGGATCGTGCTTATGAGGCATTTAAAGGAGCAGTATGAGCTCGGGCTCTGTGCTTTCTCATGCTGTTGCCGTCCTCAGCCCACCTCCCTTGAGACATGCAGAAGGAAGCTGAAAGTGTATTCCTTTACCAGAACATGACTTCGATATGCTGTTATGGAAGGAGATGCTGAATATCTCACCTTATGTCTTGATTTTCTTTTCTTCAGGTGGTGAGAATATCAAGAGCATAAATCAGCAGTCGGGAGCCCACGTGGAGCTCCAGAGAAACCCACCTCCCAACACAGACCCTGGTGTACGAATATTCACAATCAGAGGAGTTCCCCAGCAAATTGAACTCGCTAGGCATCTCATAGACGAGAAAGTTGGCGTAAGTCCCATCTCTGTTCTTGGTCTGTCTCTTTCAGACGTGGTATTTTCACTCATAGGTACATATAGGCCTGGACTTAGAGGATATCACAGAGGCACGTGCTTGCGTTATTCAGCTTCAAAACCATTTGCCTGTTATCAGCTGTCTTGAGCTTTGATGGCCCTCCAGCATCCGTTGGACTAATTTTTGCTGTGGTCCCAGAAGGATCTGACTGTTTGCTGACGTAATCAAGGGTGATGTGCAGCTGTGTGAGAGGGAAGAACAGCAGTAAGGTACGAAAAGGCTGTCCAAGGAGATTTTTGAAGGGATGACAATGATGTCGCTGCGTGAGAAATGACACAGTCCTGGCATCATCATCCTGAAAGTAACACTCAACTTCTTGCTCCAGTAAATCCAGGATAACTTTTATCTTCCACTTAATGCGGTGCTGTGGTATTGAAGCTCAATAATGTCAGGCTGGAGTCCTACTGAAGGGGGAGACTGGGGTGAAAGAAAGTATGGAAAATACTGAACTGGGTAAGGTAAAGCTGAAAAGCAACCTTTGTGCTGAATGGCCTTAGAGGAGAAGGCTTGATACCGACCTCAGGATCCAAGCTATTCAAAGGAAAACTTCCAGCTGTGCCGTAATCCCGTTAGCTCCTTTGTGGGCTGGCTGGAGTTGCTTTTGAAGCTGGGCTCCTGGAGTGTGCTGACAGTGCTGAGAACTTCGTCCCTGGAGAATCAGTCACTTCTTCCAGGTGCTGGGGTTTAGTGGAATGTGTCCCAGGCCGTCTTCTCCCCTTTCTTATTGCTCATGCTAGCTGCTTCCTCTCTGTGTGGAGAGCTGGCATTAAATATTTGTGGATTCTGTGACAGGGTACCAGCATGGGTGGACCTGGAGGATTTGGTCAAAGTCCGTTCAGCCAAGCACCCGCTACACCTCATCAAAAGTAAGCTTCTGCCTCTTCGTGGATGGGCTCTGGGGAAAGGCTGGGAGCTGTGGAAGCATCGGGAGAGGGGTGGAGGGCTCCGAAGGGATAGTGTCTAAGTGGAACATTTTAAAGATTGAGCATTCAGAAGCAAGAAGCAAGCAAGAGTAATCCTTTCAGCTTGACTACAGGAAGGATTTTATCTATTAAATTATAAACAAAGTAGGTATTGGCATCTCCAAAATTCCTCTTCGCTGCAGTGAGAGCATGGCAAGTAGCCTGAGCTGCACAGAGCACGAGGAGCGCTCTTTGGTGTGATGTGTCTTCGTCTTGGCTTTGTGAACAGACCAATGTGGAGCAGTCACACCTACACAGCATTTCCTTTTGTTCACATGTTTGTTCACCATGAGTAACAATTTCACTTCTGTGGTTAACTTTGTGTATGCGGCCTGTGAAGTATTTTATTGTCTGCTTCAGCGTGCCTTTTTGTCCTCCACAGTGGTCCTCAGGCGTTCATGACGCAGGGTTGGGGCAGTACCTACCAGACGTGGCAGCAGCCCGGACAGCAAGTCCCAAGTAAGTGTCCGGGACGTGGGAAGGAGAAGGGTCGGCGTTCGCTTTGCCGTTGCTGCTTCATTCCTGCACAGCACAGGTTCACCTGTGAGACCACTTGTGTCAAAACAAAATAATTTCCTGAGCAGAAGAGGTGCGTGGAGACGTGCTGTGGTGCCTGAGCTCAGAATAAGCCAAGTCCATGGAAAACTGTAATGCTTTTTGTGCACTTCACTGAGCACTTTGTGTAGAAACTTGGTCCTTGCGCTCTGATTCTCTCTAACAAGAACGCTTCCGCCTCAGGTTCTCTTTTGCCAGGATTCTCCAGGCAAGCACTTGCCAACCCCACTTCCCCCTGACAGGCACACCGTGTCTGCTGCTGAGCCCTCCCATCTCTTTGTTCTTGACCCTGTCAGTTCTTGCTTATTTTCTTTCTTCAAATATTCCTTGTGAGCTCTTCTCACTGTTCACTTCCCAATCTGATGGAAGGACTGGGAAAGGAGATGCAGAAAATGCAAAAAAGGGTAAGTTCGTATCCTGGTTCATCCACGCTGGCATCCCTTGTCTCCTTTTGGGAGTGAGAACTGCTCAGCCCCCGCAGTGCTAAAAGCACAGGGTGAAGCCAGAGGGATAAACGGCTTTCAAATAAATAAAATAACCCCAAGTGATGCATGCATGTCTTTAGTCACGAGTTCAAAAACTGAACCAGATCACCCCTGCTGCTGGGCTTTCCACTTCAGGGCACCAGCACCGAGTCAGCCTGGCTGTTACTCTTCAAGATTTGAAGTGTCATTTCTTCCTAAAAGCTTGTTTAGTCAAAATTCAGCAGACTGAAATGGGAAAGTCCCCCTTTTCAGAATAATCGAGGTAGTGAATGCGAGTGGTGATGTTGGTAACTGCATCATCCTGTGTCTTCAACCACCAGAGTAATGGTTTTGCCCTGAACAGAGCAGAGTCACGGTCTGTGTGGTCCTCCCAGAGCTCCTGTGATGGGCAGTAATGGCCAACAGACAGTTTTCAGTCACAGTTTTTCAGAAAGTATTGTGTGTTTGGTTTGTGTTTTTTTTAGTGGCTTGATCTTGTGAAAACTAAAGCCAAGCACCAAAAAGGAGGAGGGATATAATTTTAGAGGGCAGGTTTAATGGCAGGTCCTTTTCAGTGCTAAGGCAATGAAGTAGTTTATTAACTTCAGTAGAGGTTCCTGCTCTTTGAGGTGCCTGAGCTAGAGGAAAATTTGGAGGAGCAATGCCTGCAATTGCCCTCATCACATTTTAATGCTTATGAAATTTGGAAATTCTCAGTGCTGCCTTGTTAACAATAGGGCACTTCTGAAATCCTTGCTACAGTAGGATATAGGGAGCCCTGCATGGAAAGTATGTGTTAAACACTTAAAAAGCACCTCTGGAAGTTCTGCTCCTCAGCAATTACAGCTGAAAACTTGTGATTTTTGTTTTGAGCTCTAGGGACTTGTAGAAGGTCAACAGTTGTTTGGTTTTCAGAGTAGGAAGATACAGTGGTGGGCTTTAAAGGAGTCTTTACTTTTTTTTTTTTTGGTACAGGAGTGGAATAGTCTGGTACTGAAGAAGAGTATTTTCCCTTTACCTTGTTTCATGGGAAAAATTGTTATTCCAGTCCTCTCCTGTGCACTGCCAAGGGCACTGGACTTTTCCCTGAGCTTTGGGAAGCAGAGCACTCAGTGCAGTAGAGAAGGCTCTACCGAAAAAAACGTAATTTTTAACCCATAAACCCTTTGAATAAGTGTTTGTCAAATGTGCATTGCTATTTGCCTCACAAAATGCCTTTAGAAACTTACCCGAGTAGCTTCTTTCTTTCTCACCTCCCTGAAACGTCCTCTTACCCTGTGCACCAGCCAGTGGGAGGAAAAAAGGTATTTCCCTTCCTGTAACGTATAGTCGTGTCTCAAGCTCACACCTGCTGGTTTTGGAGCCTGGTTTAAGAACCGCAGACCCTTTGGGTGCCCTCATTGCTGGCAGTGCAGCTCGTGTCGCAGTGATGACTCCTTGGCAGCGCGTTTGTCAGGTTTCTGTGGCTCCCAAGACCAGAGGAGTGTCCAACCTTGCCGTTACCCTTCCCTGTACAGATTTAGTACCACACTGAGGCGTTTCGGGAGCAGATGTTTTG